CTATCTGTGAGTTAGCCATGCCCTGACTTAGATCAGCCTAGAGGTTGTTTCAGGGTTCTATCTGTGAGTTAGCCATGCCCTGACTTAGATCAGCCCAGAGGTTGTTTCAGGGTTAGATCAGCGAGTTAGCCATGCCCTGACTTAGATCAGCCCAGAGGTTGTTTCAGGGTTCTATCTGTGAGTTAGCCGTGCCCTGACTTGGATCAGYCCAGAGGTTGTTTCAGGGTTAGATCAGTGAGTTAGCCATGCCCTGACTTAGATCAGCCTAGAGGTTGTTTCAGGGTTCTATCTGTGAGTTAGCCGTGCCCTGACTTGGATCAGCCCAGAGTTTGTTTCAGGGTTAGATTGGTGAGTTAGCCATGCCCTGACCTGAATCAGCCCAGAGGTTGTTTCAGGGTTAGATGTGTGAGTAAGCCGTGCCCTGACTTGGATCAGCCCTGAGGTTGTTCAATGGTTTTCAAGTTAGACTATAAGAAACAAAACTGTTTATTAAATTATACATAAAAATATAGATTATCTACAAATATATATTGATATATATTAATCTCCTATAAAATAATTGTTGTGTCCAAGTCATTAGGCAATGCATCATGTAGAATTCCATTACAGTACAATATATGTATGTATGTCTGCAACATGGGTCTATACCTCATTCATTCACATGTCAGTGAAGTATCATCAGTGATGGGTTCAGGTGAAGGGCAGGGATGGCTAGATGGTTTCGCTCATTTAAAAACATGTTTTGTTAATATATATATAATCCCTGATATAAATAGTGTTCATAGATCATAACCAAGGATTGAAATGGAATCCCGAGTAAATTAGATTGACAGAATATCCCTTTCTATAAATAACAAAACATAAAACCAACGCGACCCTTTATGGGGCAGCGCACAATCTATCCAAGTTACTATGGTAACCTTCTGTTAACTATCCAGCTCCAATTCTGGGAATTTATCTTGTCCGTATTTATCAAGAAGATATTTCTTGAAGTCTTCTTTTAACTCTTTTATACACCTGTAAAAACAAGCGAAACACGCTGKCTGTTATGATTGATTAACGATGGTGTTCAAGGCAGATCATGTGATATTACCTTCTGTATTGATGACTAGAGCGAAATTTAAAAATATCAAACGACAAGGAATGAGGAAGATGAATGATAAAGGCATTAGGAAGAACCATGAACTCATACCTGAAAAAAACAACCAATAGTTTAGAATAAGGAACAAAACRGCAAACCCCACATATGTGGTTCAGACTTAGGAAATAGCAAACCAATCACTGTTGCAGCAGTTTTACCAATGTAATTAATCTTGTCCCACAAACAACTACRCAGCACTACACAGTACTACAAGGATTGCGAGACTATTTTCTTTTATTTTCACAGAACAGTAAACAATGGAAACAATTTATAATCAATTTTCTGCCTTCAGCATTTTGAATTATGCAATATTCCCGGGGGGGGGGG